TAATTTTTTTAAAAAAACAAACAGGCAAGTAACCTGAGTTCAGGTAAGCTCTTCCATAAGCCTAAGGATTATACTACATAATTATAGTACATAATACTACATAATTATMGTATATGATACTATATGGATGTAATACAGTGTAATATACATTGAACATTRAACTACAGATAGTGTAAAATTTACCATTGCACAGAAAACTGAAACAAATTTGCTTTAGGTATGACCATCAGTCATGAARTTGCCTATGGCAGTCTTGGCCAGCTGGTAGGATTTTCTGGTTACATTACATCCTTTTTGTGTCAGCTCTTAGTGAAAGGCCCAGAAAAACTACACTACTGCTATTTTATATGTCTGCATAAAAAACATGGGTTTAAATAGCCTTGCCACATAAACTGGCACAGCTCAGCTTTGGGCACCGTGCACCCCCCCAGTTGTGTGTGCTGAGCTGGGTCTGTCCTGAGTCACAAAACACAGAGGATCTGACTGACCTTTCAGGTGGGACCAGCCCTGTGGGGCTCCTCACAGACGGTTTGGGATCTCCTCTCCTGTGCCCCATCCATGCAGCACTCTGCTGTGGATCTGCCTGCTCTCCAGAGGATTTTGGCATSGAGGGGTGGCTGTACCTGCTGTCAGTGTCTGGAGCTTCTGAAGGAGGGCTGAGTGCAATGGAAGAGCTCAACAGCCCCGACCTTAAGCTGAAATGCTCAGCAAGGAGTTTTCAGAGTTTTCAGCTGCCCCGTGGGTGAGATTTATGGGAGCACCTTGGGGACAGCATTCACTACAAGAAGTGTCTCCAGGCAGAAAACAGCAGGGCCATGAGTGCACCCTGAATTGTGAGAGTGCTCAGTGATGATCATGTGCAGCTGAATCTGCAGTGAAATGAAGGAATCAGTGATCAGGGTGACTTCTTCTGGCAAACTGATCCAAAGCCCTCAGCAAAGGTTCAAAAGCCTATAAACATCTGTGCTTAATTTCAAATATCAAGTGTGAACCTAGATTTAAGCTTTGTGAGGAGTGTTCTCCCTGTTCTGGTGAGCCAAGTCCTGCAAGTCATCACATTCTGATTTAAATGAGATTAGTTAAAGATGGACACATGGATAAAATCCTCTGGCCAGGGTTTGTTGTTATTTTAATTGAATTAAAGAATAATCCACTGAACAAGAACCAAAGCTCATAAATAATTTGGTGTGATCTCTCTAACTAGAGATTATCCTCATGAGAAATCCTAAAACAAGGAAGATTTAGCTCCAGGTGTCTGTTTTATAGCCTCACCCCCAATCCTGCAGGGATTCAGGCCTAATTTKAATTTCCTAAGTCTGAATATACACTGTGTCAACATGCACTTGTTTCTGTCTTTCTGTGTGTGAGTTTGCATTTGGTTTGGAACCAGAAATCATGTTTCTGGTGTGACATTATGATCAATCCTGTTATCAAGAATATACAGCCCAGAAAAAGGGGAGGCTTGCAGGAGAAAGTTTGTGACTTTGGGCATGAGAAAGGATTCATGGCCATGTACAAGCTGATTCTTCAAAATCAAAGGATCAGGTTCAGCCTTGGGGTTGGACTTGGCCTATCAGGCCTGCCCACACAGGGCTGATTTGGAGCATAAAATATTTGGCTAACCTTGATTAGGCAGAGTGTAAATGCCGTGCTAAAAATGATGTAAGCWGTCAGCCTCACCATAATATTAACAAAGCTCTTGAAACACAGATTGGCTTTTTACCAATAATTTTTAGCAAATGCTCTAATTAAATTATCATTGGTATAAATGCTACAGGTTTCAGTGGAATTACTCCAAAATGGATCTAATCCCATAATTTGCAAAAGAAAATAAATCTCTCCCTATGTTCTCACAGAAAACTTATCTCCATGTACATAATACTCCTTTTAGGTGAAAGCAGAAAACAGAATGAAAACCATGAAACAAATTTGGCAGTGAGTGCCAGCTGGTGTATAGTAGTTTGCATTTGCATAAGAAGCAAGCACAAAATGTACCTAAGCCAACCAGCATTTGATACCTGCACTGATTAAAGTGAAGGCTCAGGGAAGGGTTGGGTTTCTCTCAGTAAGTGCACACACAGAAAAAGGAAAGCCATTAACTTGCAAAGCAGACCATTGAGGATTGTTGCAGCTCCCCGACTCTTTCCAAGCCCATTGAATAATCTCAGCAATCTAAGTATTTGTAAAGATTTCAAGCAAGAGCAAATGAAGGCCTTATTGTGGGTTTCACCTACAAGGGCAGCTTGTGTCTCCAGCATTGTTCCTCCCTTGGTCATGGAAAGCTCTGTGGGTATCACTGTCTGCCTCTGACATGAAGAAAATGAACTTCTGCTGTTTGAACCTGCAAGGGATATTGCAGCATCCAATTTTCATTGGTTTTGGACAAAACARTAAACCTGAAGAGTCCCTTAGCCATATGGAAGGACTTTATGGGACAATGAGRATCAATGGACACAGGTGGCTGATGCCAGGAGGAGTGAGATCTGCTGACACTGCTGGTGTTTCCATACACAAACCCTCACATACTCAGTTTTGCCTGAGATAAGGGGTGTGTCTGTCCCACAGGCATAGAGACATCCCTGCATTCATRTTGGGCCTGATCTGAGTTAATGAGTCCTCTCAGAAGTGCAGCAMTGTGCTGGTACAATCAAATTTTCCTAATTGAGCTATGCTGTGTAGATTTATWCCCTCAAGTCATAAATACCTTATGGATTTAGGATTGTTTTGAATTTATAAATACCTTTCCAGTAGTTTATTACTCATGGCACGTGGCTGGTCACTCACTTCAGCACATGACTGAGTCACCATCCCTGGAGKCWCTAAGGGACATGGTTAGTGGTGGACGTGGCAGTTAGGACTGTTGACATGAAGATCTTWAAGGTTTTTTCCAATCTTAATGATTCTGTGATATATTCTATGAATGTTTTAGCCTTGTGAGCAGTTACAGAATAATGCATGTGTGTACAGAGAACCTGGGGCTAGCAGATTTCCTGCACCCTGCGTCCCCAAGAGGCTGACACTCTTCAGTAACTGCACAAGATATAATAGAGGAAGGGGRAAATGGAGGGAATTGTCTTTGTGGAAGAGTCACATAAAAATCAGAGAAAAATGTTCTTGACCCCAGAAGAGACATAGATCTGCCCCAGACTTCCTKGTGCATTACCTGTCTGTGTAACTATGCAGCACTGAATCATAATTTTTCAGCAATCACCTGCAGCCATGGGTGAGACAGTGCTGCTGTCAGTAGATGCACTCCTGGGGTGTGGGTGAGGACAGTTTCTCAGCTGAAGAAGCATTCCCTTGACATTTCTGCTGTTCAAGGCAGATATTTACAGCAGCAAATCTTGCCAAACCCGAAGTTGTGGCTGAAGTAAATAATCATATTTCATGTTCATTTGAATGCCTGATCCTATTGCTGTTCAGCTTTGCCAGCATATTTAATGTTCTTTGGATGTTTCTCCAGCAAAGTCCTGCCTGTTTTGCAGTTTGCTGCTGCTGGAACAGATCCTCGGTTTCCAGCTGAGTTTCCTCGAAGCCTTTGTGTGGGTAAGTGCTTTATTTGATTTTTTTTTTTAATGGGATATCTTGGAGCTA